GCCCTAGTTTGCGCTCAGTTTCTGCCTTTCTCCTGTGGCATCTGACTCGATTTCTCTCCGAGTTACTGTGTGTCTCCTTCCTAGACCCCCCTGTACCTTTCTCTGTGACTTTCTCCCTGTCTTTCAGGTCACCCTTTGTCTCTTGAACTTCAGCCTCTCTTGGTAAGAGGCTGCTTCTGGGCCTCCAGCACACTATCCCTCAGCTGGTCAGTGTCCCTTCGACTGTCTTCAATATCTCACTGGTCTGTCTCTTTCTCTGTGAGTCGCTCACAGAGTGTATCTCTCTCACTTTATTACTTTTTTTTTGCCCCCCCCTCTCTGAACCACATCTTGGCTTCCTTCTTTGTTTATCCCCAGTCCCTTCCTCTCTCCCACCCTCTACCCTGAGAGTAGAAAGAGGAGGGGACAGAAGATATGAGATGGAAAAGGAAAGAAAGGAGAGTGATGAGGGGGGGGGGGAAGCAAAGAGAGGGGAGTGGAATAATGGGGGTCACTCCAAGGAGCACCCAGTGAGCCAGGACAAAGGCTCAGGAGCACCTGGGGGTCGAGGGGAGGTGGCCAGAGTCAAAGTGAGGAGTGAAGTACAGCAGTCCTGGGGAGCAAAGCACTAGAAGGAAGGAACCTAGGACTTTGAAATTATGAAGCATGACAAAGGGGAAAAATGAGGTGGCAGTCCCAGGAGACCATGATCTGAGGAGGGTGAGGAATGTTAAACTACTCTGTACTCCAAGAGTCCATGTCCCGTTTCATGGTTTGTAAAAAAATAATTAACAGCTACTGGGTTCCACTCCCTGCCAGGCACTGGATACTGGATGCTTTTGTCAGAGCTTATTATCCTCACATCAACCCTCGAGATGGAAGCTATTGTTATTGTTATCTCTTTTTCACAGATGGGGAAACTGAGATTCAAAAAAGTCAAGTAACTTGGCCAAGAGAGCAGAGCAGGTAAGTGACAGAGCCAGGGCTCAGACCAGGTCAGAACTCAGAGCTGGTCTCCAAACTTCTCTATATTCTGTCCACTGAGAGTAGGACTATGCTCCAACCAGCCTCAGCTCCAATTCAACCTGGGGAAGGGGCACTAGAGACGGGAACCAGTGTCTCAAAATGTGGACACAGGAGTTCAGTTTCACTCTGGCAAAATTTTCCCCAAATAGAGTGTGCCTGTATGTGTGTATCTGTATGTGTATCATGAGGCAAGGGGGTTATCAAACTCTGATTGGGAGACTGGGGTTAGTTCTGGACAGTTGTGGAGGTTTCTTACTGCACAAAGGTCCTTAGCTAAGAGGCAAGTGAAGGCTGAAATTTAATCTGTTCTCTGGTCACCAAGCTGTGAGTTCTAGTGTGTGGCAGCAAGCCATGCTGACAAAAGGATTTGTTTTTTCTAATGTGTAAAATCCTAATTATGGGCTAGTTGTTTCCCATAAATTGTCACCTCCTGGCATCCCATTGGGAGGATACTTAGTCTCTTTGGGATTTTCAACTCAGCCTCTTTGGGGTTTGCAACTTAGCCTGATACTGTCACGTAGCTGGGCAGAGTGAAGACTATGTGTTAAGCTCTTGCATAGGAACAGCCTGAGTATCTGGGGAGTTCTTAGTGGCATTTCTGTTTGAGTATGGGAAAAAAAAATATTTTCCTAGCTTTTCTCCCTTCAGAGCACAGGGTACCTCTTAGATGTCTCTGCTAGGGCCTGCTGCACAAATGTACTCATGCATATAAGTGCATATTACCACCTAGATCACCAGATCAGGTGTCCAGCCCTACAACACCAGCAGAAACAGGCTGGAATAAAAGAGAGGAAATGGAGCAAGTGGAAGCTACCTATCCCAGGAGCCACACTTTTCACACTTCCCAAGACTGCAGTGAATCTTCTCTCCATCCAGGACCATATGACACTTGGCCCCAGAGAGCCTCCTGGGCCCTGGGCCCAGAATTAAGGGTAAATCTGATCTTATATGGTGTGTGCCCTGCCTCACATCTTTGCAGCCCTCCTTTCCCACCAGCCACTGCCACCACAGCCAGTTCCCCACAGCAGAACACAGTAATCTGACAGCCTCTGCTCCATGGAGTTCTCACTGATGCCCTCAGCCTGGGACACCCAGGAGGACTCATGCAGGCACATAGGGGAAGTGTGAAGGAACTATTGTTTGACTGGCCTGGAGGAGTCAGTGAGTAAATGTCTCCATCATCTCTCCTTCATAAGGGATAAAGTGTCTAATGGGTGGACACTGAGGTGTGTTCTAGATGGCTTCTCAGAAGATCCTGGCATGGCTGAGCTCCAATTGCCCTTAGAGGCAACAAAGCTTCATTAAATAACCTTGTGTTGGCTTTTCCTCCTCCCCTCTGTTTCTGGAATCTTCCAAAATAAACTATTTGCATGTAGGCCTTTGCCTTGGGTTATGCTGTCAGGAGTAAGGAAGGTGAGGTAGACTGGCTAACATAAGCCAGAAGGAGGAAGAATGTTGTTTCCTTTCCTGAAATGTTGTTTTTGTTATGTGCCTTTGAGTCACCTGCGACTCATAATGACCCTATATGTACAACAGCCCTAAACCCTGCTCTATCCTGTGCCAATCTTGTCCATCTTATCGAGGGTCTTCCTCTCTTGCACTGTTCCTCCACCCTCTCAAACATGAGCCTCTCCAAGGACTGACCCCTTGTAACCCCTTGTCCAAAATATGTCAGACAAAGCTTCAGAATCCTTGACTGCAAGGAGTAGATTGGCTTCACCCTCTCCAGGATGAACCTGTTTGTCCTCCTGGCAGTCCATGGTATATTCAATACTCCAGCACCACAGCTCAAAGGCATTAATCTTCCTTCTATCATCCCTAGTCATTGTCCAGTTTTCTGATGCATAGCAAGTAATTTCAAAGACTATGGCCTGGATCAGGTACACCTTAGTCTCCAGACTGACATCGTTGTCTACAGTACCTTGGAGAGGTCTGTGACAGCAGACTTTTCCAATGTAATTCATCTTTTAATTTCCTGGCTGCTGGTGGAGTCAAGCAAACTAAAGCTGTTAACAATCTCAATCTCTTCACCTTCTATCATGATGCTGCCAGTTGGCCCAATGGTGAGAATCTTTTATTTTCTTGGTGTTGAACTTCAAACCATATTGAAGGCTGCAGTCCTTGACCTTCTGCAGCAAGTGATTCAGGTCCTCCTCAGTTTCAGTAAGCAGGGCTGTATCATCTGCATAATGCAGGTTGTTGATGAGTCTTCCTCTAATCCTGATGCCACATTTCTTCTCATGTAGCCCAGCCTCCCAGGTACATCTCTTCCACATATAGATTGAAAGGGTATGGAGATAGGACACATCCCTGGCATATACCCTTTCTGATTTTTTAACCATGCAGTGTCTCCTTACTCTGTTCTGACAATTGCCTCCTGGTACAAATATAGGTTTCTGATAACCACAATCAAGTGTTCTTGGATTCCCATTCTTCTCAGAGTTAGCCACAGTTTGTTGTGATCCATACAGTAAAATGCCTTTGCATAGTTAATGAAACACAGATAGACATTGCTCTGATACTCTCTGCTGTCAGCCAAGATCCATCTAACATTAGCTATAATATAGAAATGCCAGATGCGCAGGCTGGATTTAGAAGAGGTCGTGGTACTAGGGATATTATAGCTAATGTTAGATGGATCTTGCCAGAAAGAAGAGAATACCAGAAGAATGTCTATCTGTGCTTCATTGACTATGCAAAGGCTTTTGACTGTGTGGATCACAACAAGCTATGGCTGACTCTGAAAAGAATGGGAATCCCAGAACATTTGATTATGCCAATGAGAAACCTATACTTGGACCAAGAGGCAGTCGTCTGAACAGAGCAAGGAGACAATACATGGTTCAAAATCAAGAAGGGGGTTGATCTGGGATGTACTTTGTCTCCATACCTTTTCAATATGTATGCAGAAGAGATCGTCCGAGACAATAGGCTGTACGAGGAGGAATACAGCATCAGGATTGGTGGAAGAGTCATCAACAATCTGCATTATGCAGATGACACAACCTGCTTGCCAAAACTGAGGAGGACCTGAAGTGCTTGCTACAGAAGGTCAAGGACTGCAGCCTTCAATATAGATTGAAGCTCAACATCAAGAAAACAAAGATTCTCACAACTGGGCCAATTGGCAGCATTAGTATGGATGGTGAGTAGATTGAGATAGTTAATAGTTTTAGTTTACTTGACTTTGCAGTCAACACTCTTGGTAACAGCAGCCAGGAAATCAAGAGATGAATTGCATTGGAAAAGTCAGCTGTGAGGGACCTCTCAAGAGTACTGAAGAGCAATGATGTCAGTCTGGAGACTAAGGTGCGCCTGATCCAGGCTATAGTCTTTGCAATTACGTGCTATGCATCAGAGAGTTGGACAGTGAATAGGGATGATAGAAAGAGAATTGATGCCTTTGAGCTGTGGTGCTGGAGAAGAGTGTTGAATATACCATGGACTGCTAGGAGAACAGACAGGTTTGTCCTGGAGAGGGTGAAGCCAGAATGCTCCTTGGAGCCAAGGATTCTGAAGCTTCGCCTGACATACTGGTTCTTGGAGAGGGACCTCATGTTTGGAGGAGTGGAGGGACGACACAGGAGAGGAAGACCCTCGATGAGATGGATCGATTCTGTGAGTGGAATGGTGGGAATGAGTGTGTTTGAGACAGCGAGGTTGGCACAGGACAGAACAGCATTAGGGCTCTTGTACAAAGGGTCACTATGAGTCTCAAGTGACTCGATGGCACATAACAACAACAACATACCTAATACCAAGGCCTCTTAGAGTCATTTCCTATGTTCTAAAATTCTTGTATCATTTTATGTTTTCCTCCCAAAGTTCTGTGCAGTCTACACTATTGTTACTTTCATTTTACAGGCAAATAAACTGAGAATTGGAAAGTAACTGGGCCAGAGTCACACTGTGCCAGAGCATAGATTAAGGCCAGCTCTGATTCCAAAGCCCTTAACCATATCTTTTGCCCCCAGGTGAGCACCAAGCTGTATGCTATGGCAGGGCTGGGTACCTGGAGCCTGACCACAGTTCCCTTGATCATCCTTCTGCTCCCTGGAAGTAAGTGTGGTGGGAGTGAGGGCATGGTGGGGAGAGGGAGTTAGAGGGAGAGCGATTTAGGGGACAGGGAATGGCTTCATCCCTGCATTGCCCACCCCATTGCTCTTAAGATTCTGAGAAAATTCTATGAAGCTCAAGAGTAGGGCACATATGTGGGGTAACTGGGCTCTCAGCCCCCTTCAAGCAATTCCCCATCAAGAACCATGAGAGGGCCTGAGCTGGTCAGCCTGGAAAAGAGTAGGGAGAGCCCAGGCTTTGTCTCCAAATCTCTGCCAGGCTATCAGAAGGAACCTTTAAGTCATCTGCAGCTCTCACAGGCAGCAGAGATATTGGGGTGAAAGTCAGAAGAAGACATATTTCATATAATATGGAAGTAGAGACAAAGTTCTCCAATAATGGAGACTGTTTTGAGAGATGATAAGCTTCCCAGCTCCAGGGACATGAACGCTGAGGCCAGGCCTGACAGGGATGCTATAGAGCAGATGTTGGCAAATTTGGTCTCTCTGTGGGCATGGCAGCCACCTGCAGCCTCTTGCTGCATGTTCTCCTTTCTGTGTTTTTAACCCTTTAACCTCCATCCTTAGCTCTCGGGCCATATACAAGTGGGCTCTGCTGTAGGGAACACAGCCTACAGGTAGAGTTTTCAACTAGACAGCTTTCTAAGTTTCCTTTCAGCCTGAAGTTCTGAGTCTATGAAGCAGGAAGAGACCTGTTGAGAGTCAAGAACTTGGTCTATGACTTTGGGCAAGTTGCTTCACCTCAGTGAGGGCAAAATGCAGGGCTAACTGAGTTATGTAGCTAATAAACACTCACCAAGGACCTACTCTGCACCATTTACTGTGAATACAACAAAACAGAGGGGGTCCTCAAAGCTAGTCAACTGTACGCTCCAGCTGTGATGACACGGAAGCCAATAATCATCTGACTCCATAATTATAAAGGATAATGAGAGTTTTTCGAAGATAAGGAAATCTTGGCCTGGTCTGATTAGGCTGCACCTAGTCTGGTTGTCCTGAAAGACCTAAACATTAGCCAGGTAAAAGAGTGGAGAGAAGGGACGGTGGTACACAACTCCCAAGGTTAGGGTGATCATGCTATTTTCAGATAAGAGCAGGAAGGTCAGAGCAGTTGATGATCTGAGAGAGGATGGTCTCGGCTGGAACTGAGGCAGATAGACCACAAGGGTCATGTGAAGGATTTGGGTCTTTCTCTTAATCATCATAGTAAGTGCTGACACATCAGTGTTTCAAGTGCCTTATACATGCTGACACATCTCATCCTCCCAGGAATTACAAGGACTGTTTTGATCCTCATTTTACAGATGAGAAAACTGAGGCACAGAAAGTCTCCCCAATGTGCCAGGCTCACATAATCGATAAAGTGATTGAATCGGGACTTAAACCCAGGTAGTCCAGGTCCAACACGCACATTCCTATCCATACCCACCATCTACTACCCCATACAGCCTTTCAGAGCAATAGTGAGACACTGAAATGTTCTGGTCAGAGTTGGGTAACACAATCAGAGCTGAATTTCTATAAGGCTGGTGGTGGCTGTGAGATGCTTATCATTCGATTGATTGCTTTCACCATCTTTAGAGAAGGAACTAGAGTATTTGGTCATGAGCTGAAGACTTCCTGCAAGAGCCAATCCCAACTCTCCGTTCAGCAATTTCAGATTAGTAGCTTGAGATCAGTCCCAGAAGCATCCACACTAGGGACAGCAGTACTCACGATGAAATTAGGGTCTAGTTTCCAGCTAGTTGTTAAATATTTACTAGTCCATCTCACCCCCAGACTGCCTCTTTCAGCCTCACACACCTCAGTCCACTTGAGCCCCATGTCTTAGTGAGAGAGGCAGAAAGGGATGGTCCCAGAGACACAGGCTGCCTGACAGTCCCTCTCTGCCAGGCAGAGACGTCTCCCATAGCCCATTCTCTTCTACTCTAGGCCTCGCAGCATGTGGGCAAATCAGCCTCTCAGAATCCATCGTCCGCCTGGGGAATCCTGTCACGGCCTCCTGTGTCATCAGCCAGAACTGCAATCACCTGGACTCAGAGTTAGAGATTCTGTGGAAACTGGAATCAGAGCTTCAACCTGGTGGGAGTCAGCAGCACCTACCTGATGGAACCCGGCTGTCCACCATCACCATTCCCCATCTAAACCACATCCATGCACATCTCTCCTGCTGTGTGTACTGGGCCAACAGCCTGCAGATCCTGGACCAAGTGGAGCTGCAGGCAGGCTGTAAGTAGTCTCTCCAGCCACGCTCCCATTCTGCTCTCCTTGTCCTCTTGCCAATACTAGTCAGATACTTTCCAATATTTGTCCAATAAGCATTCTATGGGCATCTACCAGGCAGTCTTTCCTACCAGTGGGTATTATTGCCCCATTGTGCAAATGAGAGTATTGAGACCTTGGAGGTTAAATGGCTTGCCCAGGATCACATACTAATAAAGATGAAGCCAAGACTCCTATCAGACAATACAGCCCTAAAGCCAGTGCCATAATCACTGCTCTATATGGCTGCTGGCCCTCAGAGGCTGTAAATCACCAAGAAGGAGATTGTCCATCTTCCTCCTGAGGAGCAACTGATGGATTTGAACCACCAGCCTTTGGGTTGGCAGTGCAACGCCTTACCACAAGGCCACATATCCAGAAAAACCTACTTTACCAGCTGGACTTGCTCTCAGCTTTTCTCCCACCAGGCAAAATTTAGCACAATACATTCAGGTTTAAAATGATGAGAGTTTATGTAAAAGTGAGGCATAAGAAAGAATGAATGAAAGAAAAATAATTAAAGAATTCCAGAGCTGTGGGTTGGGGGTTTTTTAAGAGTCAATAATACAGGCAGTTAACACAGTGCATCTGTGTGCCTGGAACTTTTCTAAGTCTTTGATGAGAAATGAATTGTCAAGCTCTCACAATAACTCTGAGGCTAGGTATACTACCATTACTCCCATTTTACAGGTTAACATCAAAATTACAGGCTAATGAATGACAGAACCAGGATGAAAACCCAGCCATCAATTACAATGTCACTGACAAAAGGGTCCAGAGCTGGGAAGACTGAAGGGGAGATATCAGAGAGCTGGGATCCTGGGATACTCATCCCTCTTCATGTCTGTAACTTGCTTTTACCCAGACCTGTCCCTCAGTGTCACTTTATTTGGTGACAAGGGAATGAGCAAAGTGACTCCAGTGAGATGCACTAAGGTCAGGAAAACAAGTGAACTTGATCCCAGCTGGAATTTCACACTGGTCCCTCCCAGAGCCCTCACCCTCTCTCCAACCCACACAGATCCTCCCCCAACACCGTCCAGCCTGTCCTGCTTCATGAACGTCACAATCAACAGCCTCGTCTGTCAGTGGGAGCCAGGACCAGATCCCTATCTACCTACCAACTTCACCCTAAAGAGCTTCAAGTGAGTGAGCATCGCTGCCGTAGCCCCTTCCTTTGGGCCCTGGGGTGGGGCCTGAGTAGCACTGTGCTTTTTCTCCTGTCACAGGAGTCAGGGCCAATGCCAGACCCAGAAGGAGCCCATTCAGGACTGTGTACCTAAGCCCAGACAGACTCACTGCTCCATCCCGAGGGAACACCTGTTGTTGTACCAGAACATGAGTGTCTGGGTGCAGGCAGAGAACGCACTGGGGACCAGCCTGTCCCAGCAGCTGTGCTTGGATCCTATGGACCACGGTGGGTGACTCCGAGTGTGAGAGTGGGGAGAGGCCTCCAAAGTGAGCAGAGACAGGGAAACTGAGGCCCAGTGACAGACATAGGGACTTTAAAAGACCTAGAAACAGAAACAGAGACAACGAGGGTAAATAGAGAAATGGAGACAAATAGAGACACAGAAGCAACTCAGGCAAAGAGGTGCATTCATAAATAAAATGTCTAACAGAGATAAGTGTAATGAGGAAGTTCAGGCAGGAGAGGGAGAGCAGAATAGAGAACAGAGTTGCTATTTCAGTAGGATCAAAGTATGGGCTAGCTGAAAACATAACAGTTGAACAGATCTCTGACAACAAAGGGAGAAAACCACATGGATGTCCCAGGCAGTGCAAAGGCCCTGGGGCATGCATGAAATGAAGACCTAGAGATATGGCATAGAGACACACATATACACTTATATATGTGATAGGCACAGATCCAAAACAACGTGGAGAAGAACAAAAACGCAGACACACATACAGAGAAAGACTCAGAGACACCTCCCTGGGTGAAGACCCAGGAGGAAAATGGAACCCCAGACAGACAAGAAGGGCCTTCTAAGGAAGCAGTTCTGACAACCCTCCTCCTTGCAGTGAAAGTGGAGCCTCCAACACTGGGAGCCCTGAGCCTCAGACCTGAGATGCTTCCCACTCCACCAGGCTGCCTGTGGCTGCAGTGGAAGTCAAGGCAGACCAGCACATTCATCACACAGAAGTGTGAGCTGCGCTACCAGCCTTGGCCTGCAGCAGCTGACTGGGCCCTGGTGAGCCAGAGTGTAGTCTCAACAGCGGAGGGTGGGGAAGGGTCTATGTGGGCTAGAGCTGGCCCTGGGAGGGTCCCGGTGCCCAGGCTCAGAGCCGTGCTCTCGCCAGGTGACCTCCCTGCCCTCCGGCACCCTCAACCATGAGCTCTGTGGCCTGCTCCCAGCCACAGCCTACGTCCTGCAGATGCGCTGCATCCGCTGGCCCCTGCTGGGCCACTGGAGTGACTGGAGTCCCCCCCTGGAGCTGAATACGACAGAGCGGGGTAAGTCTGTGGTGAGGGGCAAGGACAGCCCTCCATGCTCACTCTGGCCTCTAGGACTCTCCCTGACGGGTGGTACCCTCTCTTTTCACTCTGCCCACAGCCCCCATCCTCAGACTAGACACGAGGTGGCGGCAAAGGCGGTTAGATTCCAGGACTGTGGAAGTGCAGCTCTTCTGGAAGGTGAGCCCCTGTGTAGGCCATCCTTTTACCCATGAGATCTCTAACCCACACAGAGCCCTGCCAGCTGGGGCTCAGGAATCTCACAGGTCAGGGATGCTCTGTGATTTGCATGGGTTTTGTATTCACTTTGCATGTGTCTAATAAGCAAGGGAGAGTCCTTTTTGAACAGATTCCAACACAGGACTCACATACCCCCAAAGGGTCACTTCAGTGAATAACTAAGTACCTGCTATGAGCACCATGTTGCTTCCACCTTGCTACCCTCCTAAGACCTAGTACTTTTCCCAAGCAAGGGAACTCAGGTCCTAAGATCCATACACACACACACACACACACAGAGCTCTCCCTCTATCCAAGACAATCTGTACATTCCCCATATCTTTTCCCCTCCATTCCTATTACAGCCTGTGCCCCTGCAGGAAGAAAGTGGGCGGATCCAAGGGTACCTGGTATCCTGGAGACCCGCAAGCCGGCCTCAAGCAGCCTTAAACCTCTGTAACACCACAGAATTAAGCTGTGCCTTCCAATTGCCTTCAGACACTCAGGAGGTGACCCTGGTGGCTTATAACACGGGCGGGACGTCTCATTCCACCTCGGTGGTCTTCATGGAAAGCAAAGGTACAAGTGGAGGGGCCAGGCAGTAGAGCACCCTGGTTAGCACATGAGTCCTGATGTTAGATCACCTGGCTTCAAACCTGGTTGTGTCATTTGTTCAGAGTATAACCTGGGGGAGTTATTAACCTTCCTAGACTTTTATTTACCCACCCAAAAAAACAGGGATGAAATTACTGTCTCCCTCAAAGAATCACTGTGAAGATTTAAATGAGTGAAGATAGAAATCTGGAACAAAGTAGCTGCTTGATATGTGTTAGCTGTTAATATTATCATTAGTGAAGGCCAGGTTACACACACACAGAGTCCATCCTGCAGAAGCAGAAAGCCCCAGGAGAGAAAGCTTCTCCAGCTGAAACATGATCCAAGTTAACTTCTCATGTTCAGGGAACTCACTACCACCACCTCCTGGTTTCCCTGAACATGAGTCCTCACAAGGCACAATTAGTAATAACCAATCTTATGGGTAATAAGCATTAACCATTGTAATAATAGTCATAGGAGCAAATGTCCCTCTTCACCAATTGGGTGCCCATAGATGAGTTCCTGAACCTTTCTATGTCTCTCAGTTTGTTCATGGATAAAATGGAAACAATAATCTTACCTCCCTCGTGGGACTGTTACAAGACTCAACAAATTAACATATTTGATACGACTTTGATAATATCTTTGGTGACTATGACTGCTCCTGTCACATACCACAGTCTATGTAGGCTGAGGAAGAATTAAAATACACGAATAGTGGTTGTGGTGAAGGATGGCGGATGTACCAGGGACGACCAGAAGAGCAATCAAATCTGTCTTGGAGAAAATACATTCAGAACACGCCTTAAAAGTGACAATGGCAAGATTTCCTATCGCTTACTTTGGGTGTGTTATCAAGGGATTGCCCTGGAGAAAGACATCAATCAGTCTTAGCAAAATAAAGAATAAGAAGTTGTTGTTGTTGTTGTTTGATGCCATCGAGTCGTAGACGACTCATAGCGACCCTATGAACGAACAGCCTGAGCACTGTTCGTACACAGAGTTTCCGGAGGCAAGCCATTTCGGAAGTGGATGCCGCTCCTGCTTCCAGGCTTGATTTAGTCAGGAAGCTCCAGCCAACACTGTCTGCATGGGTGCCCATTACCATGATTGGCACATCACTGTCACAGGCTTCAGCATCACAGCAACCACAAGTTACCTCTGCACAGCAACGCACAGACCAGTGCTATACCACCCAGAAGAATGTTTGACAGGAAGACAATTTGAACCTGGCCGAGGGCCACAGATGAAAATCACCCACCTTCAGCCTGGTAGCATAGCTTCCTTTCCACTAGGCCAACGTAGCTCTTTCTTGGTCGTTGTCATTGTTATTGTTGTTTGATGCCATCAAGTCATAGACGACTCATAGCGACCCTATGAACGAACAGCCAAAGAATAAGAAGAAAAAAGAAAAAAAAAAAAAGGAGCTCACCAACATGGTGCCTCAGTAGCAAGCTCAAACATAGCAACTAGTAAGAATGGTGCAGTACATTTCATTCCATTACACTTGAGGTCACGATGAGTTGGAACTAAGCAGCATCACAAACTGTTAACTGTTATTGTTACAACAGGTCTATGGGTGGCACAGTTTGCACTCAACCAGTACATTAAAGGTAAGCTGTTCAAATCACCTAGAAACTTTGCAGAAGTAAGGCATAGCCATCTGGATCCTCAAAGATTACAGCCAAGAGAACCCTAAAGGGTCATTCTTCTCTGTGACACATGAGGTCACCAGGAAGTGAAACAGACTTGACAGCAATGAGGTTAGCTGAACTTGATTATTATTATTTTAACATTAAGAAAACAAACATCCTTACCAATAGACCTAAAGGCAACCTCATGATGTTGTTGTTAATGTGCCATCAAGTTGCCTGTGACTCATAGCGACCCTATGGACAACAGTTCTGAAGCCTGCCCTGTCATGAGCCCGTTTCACTGATTCTGACACACCTACTCCCATTATTATAGACAGGAAAAAAAGATTGAAATTATCAATAATTTCATCTTCCTTGGATCCACAATCAACATGCTTGGTATCTGCAATCAGGAGATCAGGAGATATATTGCCCTGGGCAAATCTACTTTGAAGGACATCTCCAAATTACTGAGAAGCAATGATGACAGTTTGAAGACTAAGGTGGGCCTGATTCAGGCATGGTCTTTTCAGTCATTTGCTATGCATCTGAAAGCTGGACAACGAATAAGGATGACAGAAGGAGAATTGATGCCTTTGAGCCATGGTGTTGGAGAAGAGTATTTCATAACCCACAGATTGCAAAGAGAACAGAGGTATCTTGGAGAAAGTGTAGCCAGAATGTTCCTTGGAGACAAAGATAACAAAGCTTCATCTCACGTACTTTAGGCATGGTGCTAGAAGCAGCTATTCTTGGAAAAGTACATCATGGTTGGAAAAATGGAGGGTAGGCAAAAGAGAGGAAGAACCTTTATAAGATGGATTGATACAGTGACTGCAACAATGGGCTCAAGTATGTCAGAGATGATGAGGCTGGCACAGGACAGGACAGGGTTCAGATCCATTATTCATAGGGTGGCTGTGAGTTGTTGACTCAATGGCACCTAACAACAAATTTACCTGAGGCCCCAGGCTAAGCCTGTTCCATGCATCATTTAAACCACACCACGACCTTATCAGTCAGCAACTTTTTATCATCATTTCCATCTTACAGATGAGGAAACTGAGGCTCAGATGGTCACTTACCCAAGGTGTCCCAGCTTATAAATAGCGAAGTCAGGATTGAACTCAGGCTTCTAACTCCAAAACCTGTACCTATTTTACCTCCATCCCCCTGTCTCCCACTCTGCCTCCAGGTCCACCACTGGCCAGACTCCATGCTGTATCCCAGGACCCTCACAGCCTCTGGATAGGCTGGGCTCTCCCCAGGCCCCAGCCTTGGGGCTACATGATTGAATGGGGCTTAGGTCCCCCCAACTCCAGCAGCAGCAATAAGACCTGGAGAATAGAGCATAACGGGAGCATCTCAGGGACCTTGCTACAAGGTAGGCAGACCTGGGTGTGGACAGGTTGGGGGTGGTAGGAAGGTAGAGGTGAAGAGGAGCAGTGATTGTTAACCAGTAGTGTTGTTGTGTGCCACTGAGTTGGAACCAACCCATCTCTGACCCTCCAGCAGGTTTTCAGAGGCAGTTAATCACACCAGAGAATACTACCCATCTTCCCGTGAAGCAACTGGCAGATTCAAACAGCATGGGTTTGGGTTTGCAGTGCAGCTTCTCACCACTAGTCCACCAGAGCTCCAGAGAACTATCCCAGCAAAGCACTTTCCCAGCCTTTCTGGATCCTTAACTTTTGTTTCCATTGTGGTGAAAACATAAACAACAAATTTGTCAACTCAGCAATGTCGCTAACTACTAATCAGTAACATTGATTATGATCTTCTGTCTTCACTATTCTTTTCCAAGTTGTTTCATCATTAGCATAAGCTCACTGTTCCCAAAACATAATTCTCTCTTGCCTCCTACCTCCCTCTCCTTGAGAACCATTAATAATCCTTGGATTCTGAATTTTCTTTATTTCATATGAGTGAGATCATCCCGTTTTGGCCTTTTGTGACAAGCTTCTTTCACTCAGTTATGTTTTCAAGATTCTTCCATGTTGTGAGCTGTATCAAGACTTCATTTTTCTTTATGGTTAATATTCCACTGTATGTATATACCTCTGATGATGTCATCTTTAGGGAATCCCCTGGTGGTCAAGTGGATAGGGAGTTGTGCTGCCAATGCAAAGGTGGGCAGTTCAAATCCATCAGCTGCTTCATGACAGAAAGATGGGCAGTCTCCTCCTCCTGTGCAATTTACAGACTCTGAAAACCCACTGAGATTCAGCTATGAGTTGACTCCAACTTGACAGTAAAATGTTTGAGATGTATATATACCACATTTGGTTATTCATGCATCTGTTGATAGATATTCTAATTGCTTCCACCTGTCTTAGTTACCTAGTGCTGCCATAACAGAGAGAACAGAATAGAACAAGGAAAATCTTGTTTCTTTCAGCATCTGTAGGCCCTGCATTCCCTGGAGCTCTCCAGGTGTATTGGCCTTCCTTGGTATCAAGGAGCTTCCTGGTACAAGGAACCAGGTCCAATAGGATGAACTCCACTCCTGGCAACTCTTCTTTGGCGGTATTAGACCTCCCACTCAGCTCTTTTTCTGCCCTTTACAACTCAAGCAAGGTAAAAGGCATTATAGATCACACCCTAGGAAAATCCAGATTAGAGCTGTGATGAGACTAAGGGTTGTTGCTTTCCACCCTTACTCCTTGCACAGCAGTTTGGTGTATCAGATCATGGGGATCACCCATCATCTCCACATCACATCATTGTCAATACATGCATGTATTTGGGAGTAAACAGTTCAGTCCACGACACCTCCTCTCAGCTCTAGAGAGCAGAGCTGCAGCACACAACGGTTGTTTGTGCTTCTGATTTCAGTTCTTCTAGGTAGACACCCAAGGACTAGGACTGCTAGGTGGTATGGTCGTTCTCTGTTCAACTTTTTCAGGAACTGCCAAACTTTTTTGCAGCTTTTGTACCATTTCCCACCAGCTATTGATGAGGCTTCAAATCTCTTCACACCTCAGCCAGCACCTGTTTTCAATAACATTCTGTTTGGCTGTGTTTATCACTGTCATCTTAAGTTCCTATTTCATTGTGGTTTTGTTCTGTGTCTCCCAATAGTTAATCCTTTCAAAGGTCTTTTCACTTGCTTATTGGCCATTTGAATATTTGCTCTCTTTGATGAAATGGCTCTCCAAGTCTTCATTGGGTTCTTTGTCTTTCTGTTGTTAGTTGTAGACGTGTGTGTATGCCTTGTATATTAGACCCTTACTAAGTATCTGACTCCCAAAAATTCTCAGTCTGCAGTGTGTCTCTTCACTTTGTTAATAAAGTCCTTTGATGAACAAATATTTCATTTTTTCATGTGGTCTATTTATTTTTTCATTTAGCTATTTTATCTGCCTTCCTCACTTTTCTCAGAATCAAGTAGTTCTTCCTTTAGTCAAACTGTTGCTGTTGCTGTGTGCGCCTTCGAGTCAGAACCAACCCCTAACTGGACCTTCAACAGGTTTTTAGAGGCAATAAATTGTACAGGAAGAGACTGCCCATCCTTCTTCCACACAGCAGCTGGTGGATTCAAACTGAGTGCCTTTGGGATTGCAGTATAGCTTCTCACTAGGCTATCAGAGCTCCCTTGTCTCACCTGAGTCCCTCTTTCTGCAGCCCTCACTCCACCCCCTCTCTAGCTCCTGTTTACATTTTTCCTCACTGATTTTCATCATCTGAAGAAGAGACTGAAGGGATTAGGTCAGCATTGTGAGGTCCAGGTTAGCTCTGACCAGAGGTCTGAGTTAACTCCTGACCATCTATAGAGATTAGTCTCCAACCAGAGCATCTCTCCTATTTTCTTTCTACAGAGAACATCAAGCCCTTCGAGCTCTATGAGATCACTGTGACCGCTCTGTACCAGGACACTATGGGACCCTCCCAGAACATCTATGCTTACTCCCAAGAAAAGGGTTCGTCAGCCACCAAACCCCTTCCCTCTCCTCCTTCCTCAAGACCTACCTGAATCCCAACAATCAAGAATATGAGGGTTCATTTCCTTTCTCCTCTACCTCTGGCTATGACAGGGGGCTCTCTCTCAATCCAAAGATCACCCCCAGTTTACACTGACCCCTGGAAAAACAGTTGGGCAAAAATTGGGTGGTCAGCTCAACTCAATGCCTTCCCATTGAGTTGGAACCAACTCATAGCTGACCCTTCAGGAAGTTGTTAGGAAGCTGTGAATTGCACAGGAGATTTTCCATCTTTCTCCTGAGGAGCCGCTGATGGATTCGAACCAGAGGGCACGGCCTTTGGGTTCACAGTACAACTCCCTATGGACCACACCACTGAAGCACCCAAATCAGGTGACAGGGTGCCAGAAACTGGGTGATAGGTTTAGCTGCATTCAAAGAAAGTCCAATGAAAATCAGGTCACATCAGAAAGAAGTTAGAAGAGGATCTGGCTTAAGTTCTGAGATTGAGCAGCAGACAGCAGATTCTGAGCTAGACAAAATCAGGCCTAGGAGAAACCAGGCAGTGAGGCTTTGGAGTCAAACCACACTGCTCCACATGCAGGCTCAGCCTCAACGGTGGGTGGAATTCAAAGTTCCTGGCAAGATGAGACCACCGAGCAGGTAGAAATTGGCACTCTTTTCTCACCACCAGGGTATCCCAGTTCTTGCATGTGGTCGCAACATCAGGAGCCTGAACATCAGGAGCCTGGGGGTGCTGTCTGCCCTGCCCCATTTCCCAACAGCCCCTGCATCTCTTTCCACAGGCCCAACCCACGCACCAGAGCTGCGTTTGAAGCATGTTGGCAAGACTTGGGCCCGAGTAGAGTGGACACCCAAGGCCCCTGAGCTGGGGAAGAGTCCTATTACTCACTATACCATCTTCTGGACCAACACACAGTCCTTCTGTGAGTCTATCCCAGAAAGCCTGGAGTAGAGGGTGTTCAAGAAGCATGGAGGGACCCAAAGGCTTCCAGGCCCAGGCTAACTGCTCTCCCCAACCCCCAGCTACCATCCTGAATGCCTCTTCCTCAAGCTTTGTCCTTCATGAACTGGAACCTGCCAGCCTGTATCATGTCCATCTCATGGCCACCAGTCAGGCTGGGGCCACCAACAGCACAGGCCTCACCCTGATGACCTTGGCCCTGGGTAAGGGGAGACAGAAGTTGGGCAAGAGGGCTGCTGAGAGGGTGCCCCACCTAGAGATGCCCCATTCTAAGAGTATATCTGCCCTGAGATACCAGTCTGAGAGAGGAGGCCCAGCTCGGCCCTGGGATCCTGAGTCTGAGGGAGGAGCCCCAGGCCTGCGCTGGGACCCCGAGTCTGAGGGAGGAGCCCCAGGCCTGCGCTGGGATCCTGAGCCTGAAGGAAGAGTCTGAGCCCTGTATCCACTCTAACTTCTGGTTTTCTCCTGACCTAGATGAGTACGAGCTATACCTCCTCCTGAGTCTGTTTGGCCTTCTGCTCTTGCTTTTCTCCTTCTGTGGGGTTGTCTGGCTATGTTCTAGTCCCAGGTGAGTATCCTTGGAAACCTGACACTCACCTACCCAAGGCAACTATAGACCCAGGTGGACCAAATAAGGCCCTCCCAGCCCTCTGGGCCACCAGGGCAGCACCTGGGAGTTCCAACCCTCCACTTCTCCTTTTTGCACGAAGGAGTACCCCTTCAGCTACAGGAGTGGAGCAGGGGGCAGGTCAGGGGGATGAGAGGGTACATGGGACACAGCTCTCACTGCCTCCTCTTACAACAGGAAGAATCACCTCTGGCCAAGTGTCCCAGACCCAGCCCACAGCAGCCTGAGTGCCTGGGTGCCCAGCGTCATGGCAGAGGTGAGAAGCCCGCAGGGAGAGGAAAATGGGTGGAATGTTGGCCCAACCCAAAATGAAGGGAGACCCCTATAACAGTGAGCACTTGGGGCCTCCCATCAATTCCCACCAAGATCCTCTGGAGTAAAAGTAACCTGAGATTGAACCCCAGTTTCTAGTCTGAGCCCCAGTCCCTTCCTTGTGAAGTGAGACTGATCAGAGGATTAGCTGTTGTGAAGAGTCCCATGGTGAGTCTGTGTGGCACAGGCCCAGTGTGTGCTGGGCACCTAAGAAAGGCATTGCAAATGTAACCCTATGAGGTCCAGAAGAGCAGCAGAAGTGACCCCACTACTGACCCAGCTGGGGAAGGGGAAAGGAAAGTGACTGGGGCAAACACCTTAAAATGTACCATCTCCTCATACCATGTCCTTGTGTCTAGGAGGTCTTCCAGCTGCCCAGCCTTCGGGACCCCGGCATACCCCCCATCACCAAGATCACAGTGCTGGAGGAAGAAGAGAAAAAGCCAGGATGCTGGGAGATGAGCGACAGCTCAGGCACTTGTGACCTCCCCACTCTTGTCCAGGCTTATGTGCTCCAAGGGGAATCAAGAGAAGCGTCCACCCAGCCCCAGCCCCTATCCAGCACCAACGATCAGGTCCTTTATGGCCGGGTGCTGGGCAGCCCCACAAGTCCAGAGACAGAGCACTATATCCGCTGCAACTCCACTCAGCCCCTCTTGGGAGGCCTTACCCCCAGCCCCAAATCATATGAGAACCTCTGGTTCCAGACCAGCCCTCTGGGGAACTTAGCGTCCCCATCCCCAAGCCAGGAGGATGACTCTGTCTTTGGACCACTGATAGATTTCCCTCTGCTACAGGGGCTTCGAGTCCATGGGGTAGAGGGGATGGGAGGCTTCTAGGGCTCCCCACAGGACTGCCCCATCTGGGCCTGCCCCCTAAGAGGCCTGGGCTGTCCAGAGCAGAGGGTTGGGTGAGTAAGTTAAAAACCACCCCAGATACAGGAAAGCCAGAGGTTCCTCCCAGTGTCCCTGGTCCCCTGTCCCCACCATGTCTCTGTGGGCAGGCCTCCTAGGCAACATACAGACTTTAAGAATATTTCATCCAGCTCCACGCTCTAGCCTTTTGTGCTTGTTTCTTGTAATTATGGTCACTTAAATTGATGATTTTTTTCTTTTTTTGAGAAATTCTTGAGTGTGCCTGAATCTCTTCTTTTTGTTTTCAGAGGCAAAACAGGCTGGGGGCAGGAGTGGTACAATGATAGAATTCTCATCTTTCATACTGACGTCCTGGGTTCAATTCCAGCAAATGTACCTTACACGCAGCCACCACCCATCTGTCATAGCTTTTTGTTTTGCTTTTTATTTTATACTGGTTTGTTTACAGAGTTCGTATACATTGTTTTTCACACCAGATCTTTCCCATTTCATTTACCCACCCCTCCCTTTACCCATCAAACCATGCGACTGTCATACGCTTTGTGCTCCTATGACACTGAACAGATTTCAGCAGAGCTTCTAGACTAAGTCAAATTGGGAAGAAGGGCTGGTGATCTACTTTGAAAAACAGCCACTGAAAACCCAACAGAGCCCAATGATCTGATATGTAATCGGTCGTATGGATGGGTCCAGGTCCGGGCAATGTTTGATTCTTCTGTGTATGAGGTTATGATGAGTCAGGGGCCAATCTCAATGGTAGCTAATAGTAACTGCAGTCACAGTACTTCTTGAGATTGTTCATTCATTCATTTCTTTAGTCATTCATTCAACCAACCCTTCCCTAGCAACTAAGCCCCATGTGATGCCAGCAAAGATTCAGAAATTACTCCATTAAGTGCACTTCTAATAGCAGAGACTGGAACACTGGGAACTCAAGCACACTGGCAAGAGTTATACAGAGGGTGTCACAGAATAACAGGACATGGTGAAGAGACCTCAGAAAATACCAAGGCCTCATTTCACAAACATTCATAATTATGGAATGCTTACCAAGGAGTTTGTGGAACAGCAGATTAAGCTTTGTACTGTTAGCCAAAAGGTTCCACCAGCAGTGTAGTGGGAGAAAAGTAAATCAGCCTGAATCAACAGAGATTTAGGGACTTGGAAACACTATCTGTGAAGCAGTTCTACCCTCTCCTTCAGGGTCTCTGATTCAGAATCAATTCATCCACAATAAGTCTTTCTGTTTCATTATATATGAGGTAGGGAGCACTGGTGGTCCAGGGAGTAAGGAGTTCCACTACTAACTCAAAGGCATGTGGTTCAAATCCACCAGTTGCTCCATGGGACAAAGATGGACAATCTCCTCCTGTTTTATTTACAGCCTCTGAAAACCCACTGGAGGGTCAGCTATAAGTCAGTTACAACACAACAACAAATATATATATAGTTGAGAACTCTGGAGCCTTAGTGCATAGGGAGTTTCACTGCTAATCCAAACAAAGGCCACACATCTTTGGGAGTACAAATTCGCCAGTGGCTCCACAGGAGAAAAATTAACAACCTCTTCCTTTGCAATTTATAGTCCCAGAAGCCCAATGGGGGGTTCAGCTATGAATTGGTTTCCCACTTGAAAGCAATGAGAAACTGCATATATGAGTTGTAGTGACACAGTGGATTAAGTGTTGGGCTACTCACTAAAAGACTGGCAGGCAGTTCACTGCATGTTCCAGCTGTTCCACTGGAGAAAGATAATGCCGTCTGCTTCCATAAAGATTTACATCTGCTAGGAAAGACTGGCCATCTACTTCTGCAATATAACAGACCTTTGAAAACCCTATGTACAACAGAGCACACTTAGAATAGACTAACAGATATGACAACTGAGGCTGAGCCCTCTTATTTGGAAACACAGAAGAGGAGGAACAGTTGTAAGCAGAAATTAATGATTGGAACATGGAATGTGAGAAGCATGAGTGTAGTAAAACTGGACATCATTACACTGTTAAGAAAGAAATGGAACGCATGAACATATTAGGTATTGGCGAAATGAGATGGATTGGCATGGGACATTTTGAATCAGATGATCATATGATCTACTATGCCAAACATGAAAAGGTAAGAAAAACCAGGGTCCCTTTCCTAGTTAAAAAGGCCATTTCTAGATCCATCTTGAACTACTTTATTGTGAGCAACAGGATAATATCCATACACATACAAGGAAGATCTGTTAATACCACTATCATTCAAATTTATGCACCAACAACAAGAGCCAAAGAGGAGGAAATAGACGATTTCTACCAACTTCTGCAGTCAGAAGTCAAGCAAACATGCAACCACGATGCATTACTAATAATGGGTGACTAGAAGGTGAAAGTTGGGGAACCAGGAAGAAGGATCAGTAGTCAGAAAACATGGACTTGGTGACAGAAACGAGGCTTGAGATAGAACGATGAAAGTATGCACAATCAATGATTTATTCTTCGCAAATACCTTTTATAAGAAACATAAACACAGGCTATGCACATGGATTTCACCTGATGGTACACAGAGGAATCAGATGGATTATATCTGTGGAAGGAATTGATGAAGAAGTTCAATATCAGCAGTAAAAACTAGGCCAGGTGCTGATTGCAGAACAGACTATTAACTACTCATATGCAAGTTCAAATTAAAACTAAAAAAGGACAAATCAAATTCACAGGAATCAAAATTTCATCTTGAGTCTATCCTCCCTGAATTTAAAAACCAGCTCAGAAACAGCTTTGAGGCCTTGAACACTAATGAACGAAGACCAGATGAGCTGTGGGTAGATATCAAGAATATCATCCATGAACAATGCAAATTGTCATTACAAAAATGGCAAGAAAAGATCAAAATGGATGTGAGAAGAGACTCTGAATATTGCACTAGAGTGCGGAGAAGCCAAAGCAGAGGGAAGAAATCAAGAAGTTAAGAAGTTGGATAGAAGATTTCAAAGGGCAGCTTGGAAAGACAAAGCAAAGTACTATAATGAAATGTGCAAGGAGCTGGAATTGGAAAATCAAAAGGCCCAAACTCACTCAGCACTTCTTAAACTGAATGAACTAAAGAATAAATTCAAGCTGCAAGTTTCAATACTTAATGAAGCTATGAGCAGAATATTGAATGATCGAGGAAGCATTAAAAGAAGATGGAAGGAATATACAGTCACTGTACCAAAAAGAATTGACTGACACAGAAGAATTTCAATAACTAACATATGATCAAGAGGCAATGGTGATGAAGAAGGATGTTCAGGCTGCACTGAAGGACTTGGCAAAAAATAAGGCCCCAGAAATTTATGGAATAGCAATTGACATATTTCAGCAAACATATGCTGCCCTGGAAGTGCTCACCAGGTTGTGCCAAGAAATCTAGAGGGCAATTACCTGGCCAATTGACAGGAAGAGATCCATATTTATTCCCATTTAAAAAAAAAAAAGTGACCTCACAAAGTGTGGAAATTACAGAGTACTATCACTAATATCTGCACATCATAGGTTGTTAATGAGTCTCCCTTCAATCTTGATGCCACACTCCTCCTTATAAAGCCCTGCTTCCCGAATGATCTGTTTTGCATACAGATTGAAAAGGTACAGGGACAGGATGCATCCCTGACACACTCCTTTCCTGATTTTGAACCATGCAGTGTCTCCTTGCTCTGTTCTGAGGACTGCTTCCTGGTCCAAGTATAGGTTTCGTATAAGCACCAACAAGCGTTCTGGGATTCCCATTTTCTGCATGGTTAGCCACAATTTCTTGTGATCCTCACAGTCAAATGTCTTTCCCTAGTCAATGAAACACAGATAGACATTCTTCTGGTACTCTCTGCTTTCTCCCAAGATTCATCTGATCTCGGCAATAATGTCCCTAGTGCCACAACCTCTTCTAAACCCAGCTTGTATTTCTGATAGTTCTCTGTCTTGCTCAGATCTGCAATCAACAGTCCTAATAGCAGCAGTAAGGAAATCAAAAGATGAATTGCACTCAGAAAACCTGCTATCATGGATCTCCCCAGAGTTCTGAAGAGCAATGATGTCAGACTAAATACAAAGGTGTGCCTGATCCAGGCCATGGTTTTCTCAATTACTTGTTATGCTTCAGAAAGTTGGACAATGACTAAGGATGACAGAGGAATAGATGCCTTCGAGTTGTGGTGCTGGAGTAGAGCCTTGAACATACCATGGACTGCCAAGAAAACAAATAGGTCCATTTTGGAGAGGGTGAAACCAACTTTCTCCTTGGAAGCTAGATTTTGACGCTCCATCTCGCCTACTTTGGGCATTTGATCAGGAGGGACTGGTCCTTGGAAAAGGACATCATGCTCAGAAGAGTGGAAGGACAGTGCAGGAGAGGAGAGGAAGACCCTGAAAGAGATGTACTGATATAGCAACTGGGGCAATGGGTCTAAGTCAGTGAGACTGGCTCAGGACAGGGCAAGGTTCAGAGCTGTTGTACATAGGGTCACTCTGAGTTACAGGCAACTCAATGACACTTAACAATTGAGTTAGAGTCTCCTTAGTGTGCTAAGGATTCTTACCTCAGTGTGCTCCTTGGAGGCAAAGATGATAAAATTTCATCTCACACACTTTGGACATGTTGCTAGAAGAGGGACGGCGAAAGAGAGGAAGATCCTCAATTGGGTTGACTGACACAGTGACTGCAACAATGAACTCAAGTATGTCAGAGATTATAAGCAAGGGCCATGATAAGGCAAGCAAGGTTCAGATCTGTTGTTCATAGGGTCACTATGAGTCATACTCGACACAATAGCATCTAACAACAATTGAGTTAAAAGGGAGTTCTAGTGGCCTAGTGATAAGGAGTTGTACTGCCATCTTACAGACAAATGGTCAAATCCATAGCGACCCTGTGAACGAAAGTCCTCAACACTTGTGTGACTTTCATCCTCTCTCCAGGTTCATAGAGTTTCCGGAGGCAAGCTGTTATGGAAGTGGATGCCACTCCTCCTTCCAAGCTTGTTTTAATCGGGGGAGCTCCTCCCCACTCTCTGTCCACGATGGGTAACCGACCATTAACGCATTTGACACATCAGCATCACAGTGTTCAGCCTCACGGCAACCACCAGTTACTCACAGACGGCAAGCAGACACACCAGGGCTATACGACCTAGAAGAATGTTTGAACAAAACCAATGAAAAACAGCCTCCTCCCATAGAGATTGGAAACCTTATGAAAAGTCAACTTTGGTCAGAATTTACGCTGAGACAGTGGATTTGGAATAGTCACGGACCCCGCCCCCAGAGTCGCTACTTCTTATTTCATGCAAGGCTTGGCGTACTCATTTTGGCTAGTCCGTCCAATCCATTTTCTCGGTCTTCTTCTTTCCGGTCTCGCTTCTGTATTCGATTGGTCGTGCCTGAGAAAACATGGCGGCGCCCATGTATCCCAGTCCGTACTAAAAGGGAACAGCCGCTGGGACGCAGGCCCAGGCGGGGTCGTAAGTCACCATGCTGCGGGCCGCGTGCAGGGCGCTGAGTTCGATTCGGACCCAGGCAGTAACCCAGGCCCCAGTCTTTAGAGTGTCAGAGAGAGGGAAGACCAGGCTTTCCTCAAAACAATGGGGTCTGCAACCTCGAGGTGAGGGGCCGAAAAACAAGGCGATAGCGGTAGAAAAATAGGGCTCGAACATGATTAATACGTAAGGCAGGGATACAGGAGAAAGGAGAGTGGGTGGGAGTAGAAGTGGAACTAGGAGGGAGAGACTAGCGCAGGGATTAGGCACTGAGAAAACAAGAATGTGCAAGGGCCATAGCAAGTACATTTATATTTAAGGAGATCGGCTTGATCGTTTTCCCTTCTATATAGGTCTCCTCCTCCAGGCCGCCCGCGGATTTGCCAGCCAGAAACAAGGTAGGAAGTTTTGGGGTGAGGCTTGCTTGAGGTGGACCAAGGGTACGGAGATGTGTTAGAGCCACTGTATGGGGTGGGCAGAAGACGCAGTGCCCACTTTGTCACACGTTCTTCGGCCTGAGGCCTGCCTGCGAGGTGGTGGGAGTGAAAATGCATGGCTGTCACTCCCCCGACCTATCTAGAATAGGTGGCTCTCTGTTTCCGCATTTCTGAGGTGGAGGTTGTGGTTTCCCATTGTAAAGCTAAGATAGAGTCCTCTTACTATTTGAATAATATTGGACAGATTGCTTCCTCACCCCACCCCATCCTCAGCCTTGTTGTGAATGGAGTATAAAAACATTGAGAGGATTGTTGTTGAGATTCAGTGATAATATTGCCGTTATTATTGTTTGCTTAGTAGCAGGGTGAAATCTGAGAGGATCTGATTTCCTCTTGCCTCTCCCCTTGCCTCCAAGGAGTGGCAAAGTTACCCGTGATCTCTAGTGCTTATATTTCTTGTTTCCTAGGAAGTGGGGAGGTGGGGTGGTGATGTGGACGGGACTGGGCACAGTTTCCGCTCCATGATTCCACTGCACCTGGCAACAAAGCTAAGGGGAGTCCCCAGGTAAGTGCAAATGGATTCACACCCTCCCCAAGTAACCAAAAGGTGGTGCATAGCCTGGAATTGCCAAAAAAGAAAGACTAGGTGGTATGCTTTCAGAAGTGAAGCCATTGAAAACCCAGTGGAACACAGCTGTATACATGGGGGGACCATGAGATAGAATTGACTTTAATCAGCAACCAATTAAAGAAGCCAAAGGTTCCTTCCTCAACTCACTTGTTTCATTCATGTGTCTCTCAGCAAATAACATGTTGAGAGTGGTCTATTTTAGTGTGGACCACAGACCCATGCTAAGAGAACGTCTGGTCCTCGGATGGCTGAATATATGTATGAAAGGGTCAGGCACAGTCATCCACTCGTGAGTGAAGGCCAGAACCCACAGAGTTTGCACAAAAGAGCCTGGAGACATCCTGATGCCTTGTTAAAGAAACTAGATGTCTCCTACAGGGTGGGAATAGTGGTGAGGTGAGCCAAGTCAGCCAGCACAGGTAGTGACAGCTGACTCCAAGTGCTTCCTATCAAAAAAGCTGTCTTGAGATGCTTCAATTCCATAATTATTGTTTCTTTTCAAGCCACAGCCCAGCCCATCCAAGATGATGACCTGCCCCCTTCCACGTTGCTCAAAGACTACCAGAACATCCCTGGAATTGACAAGTAAGCAGGGGTCAGGATGCCAGAGAGAGAGTTGTCAGAGACTTCAGGTCTGGCCTACTTTATCTAAAGCTTGTTTTTAAAATAAGGCAGAGATAGAAGCCAGAGCATGATGAGGGTGAGTGGGCAGTGGGATAGATGGAGCTCAGCTGTATTCTGGGAGATTATCCTATAACCAACCACCAGAAACCTGCCTGATTGATCTTTGTAGCAATCTCTCATCTCTTGACCCTCACAATAGCCCTGTAAGGGAGGAAATAGTTTTAGTGTCCCCATTTTATAGATTATCAGCCTATCCAGTGTCAAATAGCCAATAAGGGGTGGACCTAGGGCTTGAATCCAGGACTGACCTACATAAAAATCAAGGCCCTTAAAAAAAGCCAAATACCAAGGCGCTTATGCTCAGCCCCTGTCCTGCACAGTGGAGGCTGGTCAGGCCCTCCATCTCCCTCACTATGAAGTGTGACTTGAGAAGAAATTATAATTACAGAATTGAAGTGTCTCCAGACAGATTGAACCATGTTCTAGCTAAAATGAAAATCCTGTTTGCCCTCCTTGTAACGAGGCTGGAACTTGAGTTGACAGCCTCAGTTTCCTCTAGTTATCACATCGTTCCATGTTCTCAGCCCAACAAGTTAAACCATACTGATTTTTAATCCCTTGGAAATGACTCCCTTCTTCCAGAAAGACCAATCTGTTGTAGAAGAAATTGTCAATCATCCCTGCTTTACAAACTAAAATGAAAACAGTTTTGCCCTTCCTCCTTCACCCTCACCCCAGTGTCTGACTGGATTATTTTTCCACAGGGTTGATGATGTGGTGAAAAGGCTCTTGTCTTTGGAAATGGCTAACCAGGTGAGGGACCTGCCGTAGACATTGACCGCCTTCAGTCCTCTCCTCTGTGATTCCCTCCAGCCCTGGTACCTGGTCAATGTCTCTCCCACTCCTGTGTGTCTCAAATCACAGCATTTAGCCCACTGTGATTCACTATTCATGTGTTGGTACCCTCAGGGCCTCTTGAGGGAGGAAAGTCTCTTTCCTCATTGTACCCCAGCACCTGACAAGTAACAGGCACTCAGTAAATATCTGATGCATGATAAATTAATGAACTTTAGTGGCATTCATCCAATAAACCATTTTTCTTGTCAGTGCCATCACCTTTGGACTCACTTAGATGTGAATAACCATGTGGTTAATCAGAGACCATGCTCATGAACATAGTGAAGTCAGGCCCTGTGCCCTGTGGGCTGAGTTGCTGTGGTAACTATAGATAGGGCTGGCCTTGGGACCCTGAGTTCCTGAGAGGGCAGGCCTCAGAGGGTCACTGTCTCTGTTACTGTCTTTTCAACAGAAGGAGAAGCTAAAACTCAAGCAGGAGCAGTTGATGAACAAGATTGTGGTAAACCCTGAGGACACCAGATCCCTGGAAGCTCAAAGTTAGTATAAAAATAGTGCGGTGGGCATTAAAATGGTGTTGGCATCTGATCCCTATTAACTTCACAAGAGTGAAGAAGTCTCATCAACAGCACAAGGGTGATTCCACTGAGGTCAGATATGCCTCATGTCCCATGATGTTGTTATATGCCTTCAAGTCAAAACTGACTCCCACCTGACCCTCCAACAGGTTTACAGAGGCTATAACTCACACAATAGGAGACTTCACATCTTTCTCCTACAGAACCACTGGTGGATTTGAATCACCAGACAGGCATGGCCTCTGTAGGGGTTACAGTACAACTCCCCAAAGACCAGGCCAGCAGAGCTCCCTGTCTGGCATGCAAGGGCTTGGCAAATGTTAGCTCTCAATCCTGTTAACAGAGAACTTATTGGAAATGCAGAGAGTTTGACAGCTTCCATAATGTGCTGGCATACCCAGCTCCTCACAATCTCACCTTGAGGTAGGATGCCCCCACAGTTGCCTATTTCTGAACCATGAAGCAGAGGCTCAGAGAAAAGGTGGTTGATTGCCCAAATTGACACAGTGGCAGAAAGCACACTTTGAGACAGGACCTGGGAACAGAGTTTGGGATCCTGAGTCCAGTTTTCATGATTCTTGGTCCTTCATATCCCCTCTTTCCAAGCCACATCTGAGTCTTGCAGATGAGAGTTCTGGACCAGGTACCAGCTAGTACACTCTGTATACTCTCTCCCCATGAGTTAGGTTCCTGCTCTATAGCAGTGAGAGAGAGCCATGTGCCAGGTGTTATTTAATCCCCAAAACACATGTGCTAGATACTGTCTTTACTTTCATTATACAGAGGGGGGGAAATGTGAAGAACTAAGTAGCTTAATCAAGAACACACGGCTTATAAATGGAAAAGCCCAGTGACTATGAGGGGAGAAGACAGCCTTTTCCCATTAAAAGTTACAACCTTAGAAGCTCAGTGGAGGGTCACTTTGAGTTGGAACAGACTTGATGGCAGTGAGTTTTGCTCTCTTGTATTCATGATGCCCTTGCTTCCTCTGCTAGGGATTAAGTCTGGTGAGGCCATCCTGACCACTTATCTCCATCAAGGAGGTCTGGAGGCCCTTACCCCCACATCGAGGATTTCTGGGGGCCAGGCTCTTTAGTTCTCCATAGCCTCTTTGAAAAGATTAATCTCCACTCTACAGCCCAGGTAGTGAAGGGGCCGGATAGTCAGAGCCACCGTTTCCACCACATTCTGCAGTGCTCCCAGAATTCTATGAATGTCCTGGGAAGGGCCTGATGTAATCTCAGTCTGCCCTTGGAGACCTACCTTCTGCTTTTGCTTTTGACCCTTTGCAGGATGGGGGTGGGACACAGGGAAAATCAAATGAAAATGCTTGATGGAAGGATACTCCAGGGCCTTGGGAGGTAAATGGAAGCTGATAATTCTAAATACAGCTAGTCCAAGCACAAAGAGTGGCATCTGGAAAGAGAGAAGCAGTGAGTAGCCCCTTGACAGTTGCAGAATCTTTTCTTCCGATGTTGGCTAGAACCTCCAGTGTAGTGTCAAATAGCTAACCATGGTAGTTTCCGAATTTAATAGGAATGCTCTGAAGTTGTACCATTAAGAATTATATTTGCCAGGGAGCTCTGGTGGCCTAGTGGCAGGAAGCTGCACTGCAATCCCAGAGGTGTGCATTTCAAATCCACCAGATGCTCTGCTGGACAAGGAGGGACAATCTTCTCCTGTACCAGTCAGATCTGATTTGACAGTATACACACACACACACACACCCCAAAAAAGTATTTGCCCTGGTTTTTGGAATATACATTTATCTAGTTAAGAAGTGCCCTTCCTTAAACTTTGATTTTTTAAAGGGGGAAAAAAAATCCAAGGTCTGTTGAGAACTTGACATTGAGAGTACTCAGGAAATTCTAGAGAACTAGAGAAGAGCATGGGTGATCGTTGTTCCTTGAGTTCTTAAAACATAACCCAGGCCTGGGCTCTTCCTTCCTTCTGTGCCCAGCCCTCATCCCCTGTGGTTTGTGGTTTCAGTTGTTGCCTTGACTATCAAGATCCACAGTTATGAAGAACACATGAAGAAACACCGAAAGGTAAATCTTGGACGTCCCTCACAGCTGAGAAATGTCTGCCTGGAAGGGAGGCATCTGGGAGGTGAAGGATCCTGGATCTTACAAAGCTAGGTGGCTGTAGATGGACAGCACAGGAGTACTCTCCCCTCCACTGCAGTGGCGAACACTTGCCACTCCCTCCACTGGAGAGATAGGAGCCTTACAGGGCCATGCTGAGTGATTTAAAAGCATGAACTTCAGAGACAGTGTCTGACACATAGTGAATGTTCAGTAAAGATCTGTGATTGCATCAATACAGTCAGGCAGCCTTGAGTTCAAATCCCAGCTCTGCCACTTGATTTGCAGTGTCAGTTTGGGGAAGCCCTTGTTCTCTTATCTATAGATAATAATATTACCTGTTGTGAGGATTATATGAAAGAATAATAGCAACCAATGTAATCTGCCTAGGGCCTGAGCTAAATGCCCTTTATTCTCATTGCATTTAACCTTACAGCCATCTTTTTATCCCATTTTACAGAAGAATAATATAGAGTAGTAGTTATGTTACACCTCAGACATCCTACTAGAAAGAGATGTGCTGGGACTTGAAATTAATGTGATCGCACATCAGGTTAACGCTTAGGCCTTATCTCAGTGCAGTGTTTGACAGAGCTGTAGGCAATTGCTGGGTTTTTTTGTTTGTTTGTTTTTTTATGAAAGCATGGTGTGAATATCAATGAGTTCCAACCTCTTGTCTGGCACATAAATTCCTTGGGACTGGTTGTGCCTGCCCTTATGGTCCATTTTATTTGTTTGCCTCATGGAGCACAAACCTTACTGTACAAGTTCCTAACAAAGCAATGCTGAGCTGCGTAGGGGCCACTAAGAAGAGCGCCAAGTCTTCCCTCCCCTCCTTTCCCAGCTGACAGTTTGTGAAGCTGTGAAGAGGCTGAGAGTGGGTGCTACAAAGAGCATGAGATTCGGAGTCAGATCAGTAAACCCAGATTCAAGACCTAACCTTAGCAGCCACAGTTCTAGCCCTTTTGTGAATCCATTAACATCCTCCCCACGCCTTTGTTTTCTCATCTGTGAAATGGGATCACAATGACAGTGGCTACTCAGAGTCTCATTAATATAGAAAAAGTTGTTGGGAAGTATCAATACAATAATAAAATGGCCATCCTCCGTAACTATAAAATGCCACTGTTACTAAAAGTCACATAAATTCTCTCATAGGACAAAGCCCACAAGCGCTATCTGCTCATGAGCATCGACCAAAGAAAGAAAAAGCTCAAATTCCTCCGTAGAACCAACTATGATGTCTTTGAGAAGACGTGCAAGGAGCTGGGAATTGAGTACACATTCCCCCCTCTGTACTACCGAAAGGCCCACCGCCGCTGGGTGGCCAAGAAGGCACTGTGCATTCAGGTATGAGCCAGGGATGCTGCTGTGGCCGGCGCACCCAGGGACTAGGGTGGAGCAGGAGGGCAGATGGACTTTTTCTGGTGGAGTATGGACGTAGGCTGAGGGAGGTCACAAGTCACCAGCCCTGTTGCAGAAGGCCAGGGTTTTCATCTACAGAAGAGCGTTTCCACCCCACCCACTCCATGTCTGAGGTTTTGCAAAGAATTACAGTCTTTTTCTCTCCTTTTCATCCCCAGGTTTTCCAGGAGGCTCAGAAGCTGAAGAAGCAAAAAAGGATCTTAAAAGCTACAGCGGCCGCCCAGAAGCAAGACCAGAAAAGCTCAGAGGGGCCTTCAGAAGCCAGACTAGATACATGCAAAGAAAATCAATAAATTCTGTTAAAATTATTTCTTTTTGCCTTGAAGAATGATGAGAGAGAGAAAAGGTGCTCCTTTTGCCCTGAAGAAGGGAAGAATTCCTTCCTTCCTTTAGCTCAGGGAACCCAGGGTTATCTGAGACAGAGTTCATGTCTTCACATAACAGAGGACACACTCTGTTTACACTCATATAAACAACTGCCTGTTGTCCGAATGGCATGCATTTCAGTGGAAGGTGAGACTAAGCATAGAGCAGGGGTGTCTAGCTGGCCACAGAGGTAGAAAGAGCAGCTGTATTGCTGCCTTCTAGACTGGGCCCTAAAGGATGAAGAGGAGGTCACTGGGCAGAGATAGGAAGAGGTCATCCAGACAGAAGGAAGTGCAAAGGCAAAGTCTATAGGTGCATCTTACACCCAAAGAGAAGGGACTCGGAAATGAATCTTGAGAGATGAGCTACATCTGGGGTATCAGAAACCTAACATACTGGGCTGAGATTACATACAGTCATCTTGAAAATGGGGTCAGTTTTAGAAAATTAAGTGCAACAATGTGGAGAATAAGTGGGAAGGGGAGAGATCAAAAAATTTGTTGTTTGGCCAGGGCAGAGGGAGTGGGGGGTAGTTCAGACGCAAACTAAGAATTGAGATTAATTTTTTAAAGTTCTATTCTCAGAAAATTGCACATACAAATAAAACAATGCTTATCTATCTAGCTGCTAAGGTGGGTTCAAACCCACCTTGCAGCTCCTCAAAAGAAAGGCCTAGTTCACTCAAAAGATGGTGGTGGTTATGTGCTTTCTAGTCAGACCTGACTCATGGCTGACTAGGTTTTCAGAAGCAGTAGATTGCACAGAAGACTACCCATCCTTCTGCAAAGCAGCTAGTAGATACAAATCATGTGCCTTTAGGGTTGCCTGAACAGATTATAACAAGAAAACCCTGTACAGCAACTCTACTGTAGTCACCATGAGTTGGAATTGGTTCAATAGCAGTTTTTGTTATGTGCCATTAAGTCAACTACGACCCATAGTGACCCTGTGCACAATAGCTCTAAACCCTTCCCTATCCTGTGTGCCTCTGACACACCTACTCCCATTACCCTAGTCATTGTATCAATCGATCTCATCCAGGGTCTTCTACATTGACCCTCCACCTGTCCAAGCATGATGTCCTTCTCCACATACTGGGCTTTCCTGGCACATGCCCAAAGTATGTGAAACGGAGCTTCAAAATTCTTGCCTCTAGGGAACAACTTGGTTTTACCCTCTCTAGGAGGGTTGGTTTGTTCTCTTGGCAGTCCATTATACAGTCCGTGCTCAGTGAACCCACCTATTTGCACAGATTTAAGCACCAAGTCTTGTTGGTTTACCATAGCTGACATGTTTGAAGAACTTAAGAAAAAAAGCAGTACCTAGAAGGGCAAAGTGGAGAAAATCATGTCTGACCTCTACTAACTCCACAAGGGGGAACTGCCCCCATCAACAGCATCCGTGACACAAAACTAAGGTCAGATACAGCCTCCCATGCTCCTGCACCTACTTACTGGATTCAGAATCCATTGCAGTGGCAACACAGACTTCACAACTATACTCATAGTTATGAGCTTTATTAGGGAAGTCAACAGGCTCTACCTCAGGTTAATGGTAAAATACAATCCCTCAGTTTTTCCAATTAATTAGGAAGGTACAATCCCTCAGTTCAGAAAACACCTCAGTGAACAAGATTAATCCCTGGCACAGGCATCTCTATTTCATCTTCTTGCCTAGTGGTGAGATTTCTCACTTTGTGCTGCTTAATCTGCTCGATTTAATGGCAAGACTAACCAATCTCCTTATGGATAGACCAACAAGTCCTATTTGCACAGGACAGAGATGCTTCACATAGCTGTTCATAATGTAAACAGGCCACATGTTTGCAGGGCAGGTGGAATTGAGGTAGCTGGATCAGATTAAAGACAAGGATCTGGGAAAGTCAAACTTGGAGCAGCAGACCCCTACAACACACCCAAGATAATATTTATCTAAAACAGAGTAAAGAGATGAGGTAAGAGGGGCAGAGATACACCAGATGATACAGCACATTTTTGCAGAAAAGACTTCACAGGAAAAAAAGCTGTTAAAGCCTAAAAGAAAAGTGATGTCCAATGAGTACTTGGAAATTTAAATCCAGAACTCAGTAGGGAAGTCTGAACTGAACTGAGTCCATTCCTAACCCTAACCAAATAAGATGATAGAACTTCCCCTAGGGTTCCCATGCCTTTTCTTTAAAGAAAGAAATCTTTGAAGAGGTGGTCTACCATGTCTTTCTCCAGTGAAGCAGCTGGCAGCTTTGAACTAAAAGCCTTTTGGGTTGTTTCTGGGCACTTTAAACACTATGTCATCAGGACTCTTTATTAAGATCCAAGTCATAAATAATCTCTGAGGTCTTAATGACTAGGGAACGTGGGACCTCGGGGCACTCTGGGCTTCAAGGATTGCTACTAATATCCATGCACACAAGAGGCCTTTACCAGAAACTCCCAGACCCTGCCTACTCTATCTTTTCATATATATCCTTTCTGGTTATAATAAATGGGTAACTGTAATACAGGCAATAAAATCCCAACCACTGTCATCAGTTCAATTCTGGCTCACAGCAACCCATAGGACAAAATAGAAATGGCCTATAGGATTTCCAAGTCTGTAACTTTTATGGAGGCAGACTGTGGAGTGGCTGGTGGGTTTTGTCTGCCAACCTTTCAGTTAGCAATCCACCTTTTAGTTAGCTGCCAAGCACTTAAACACTATCCCATCAGGGCTTCTCAAGCATCATCTGAATTTTGTGATCCGTTCTAGAGAATTAATGAACCCACTGAGCAGTAAGCCAGTCAAGGCTCTTAGTACAGTCAATTTGGGACTCTGGGTGGTTGAGGGATAAAAGGTTGCACAGGCAGTCAGTAATGGATAGAGTCCATCTATCCTGTGTCCCAGTCCCAGTAGATGAGGAAGTGGAGCCCAGCTGATGTGAAGCACAGGGAGTTGTAGAGACTCCTGAGCTTGTGGTGCTCCCAGATGACCTGGCCTTAGGTGGCCACAGATTTTGCCTCAGCTCAGGATAACTAGAGGTGAGGTCTTGATTTGAGTTTTAGGGTCACAGAGAGATATTTTCACAGAATTGGCTGGCCACAAGGAGGGGGAAGATGAAAGCTGGATCCACTTGCAGCTAGGAATCAGATTCACGCTGATCTATGCTTTCTATGCTCTTAGAGGGGGGTTTTACCCACCATCCCCCCCTTTTTTTTGTCGGCTTGAAATCCTTGCAGCTAGTGTGGGGGAGAAGCCTATGCCGAGGAAGAGTGACCTCTGAGGTCATATACAGAGTTAGAAGGAAGTGCTAGGTTAAGAGGGAAAGGTTACTAGGGAACCTGGAGTCTTGCAGAATCAGAAGCAAGATGAGAGGCTTAGAATGTAACTATTCTGGACCTAGTGCTAAAGGCCTTTTTTATAGGGCAGGACCACTTCAAAGGTGCTGTGCTTCAAGACCAGGTGTCAGGGACAAAATCCCATTTGCTGAAACTAGGAGGACTTGAAGTGCTGCTGCAGAAAGTCAAGGACTGCAGCCTTCAATATAGAATGATGGTCAACATCAAGAAAACACTGGGCCAATTGGCAGCACTGTGATGGATGGTGAAGAGATTGAGATTTTCAACAGCTTTAGTTTGGTTGGCTCTACAATCAACACTCTAGGTACCAGCAGCCAGGAAATTAAAAGATGAATGGCATTAGGAAAGTCAGCTATCAGAGGCCTCTCCAAAGTACTGAAGAACAATGATGTCAGTCCGGAGACTAAGGTATGTCTGATTCAAGCCATGGTCTTTTCAATTACTTGCTATGCATCAGAGAGCTGGATAATGACTAGGGATGATAGAAGGCAAGTTTATACCTTTGAGCTGTGGTGCTGGAGAAGAGTATTAATATAAAATGGACTTCGTTTGACATACTTTGGGCATGTTGCAAGGCAGGATCAGTCCTTGGGGAGGGACATCATGTTTGGGAGGGTGGAGGGAAAGCCCAGGAGAGGAAGACCCTCAATAAGGTGGACAGATTCAGTTACTGGCGTAATGGGGATAGATGTGTCAGAGACAATAAGATTGACATGGGATAGAGCAGGGTTTAGGGCTGTTGTGCATACGGTCGCTATGAGTTGCAGGCAACTCGATGGCATATAACAACAACAACAACCAGAGAGAAAGAAGAAAAGAAATGCTAGAGGGAAAAGGTATAGGTAGGCCCTAAAGGAAAGGGATTATTTTAGGCAGAGCTTTAGACATCTAGTCTTCCAAATCACTCACCCTTTATATTGCCACAAATATACACAGTGAAAGAACTGAAACTGAGAGGTTAGGTGACTTGGCCAGATTCACACAGCTGATGAAATCCAAGCTTGATTTGACTTGACTCCAAAGCCCATGTTCTCTCCACTATACACACAGGCCAGGGACAAAATAATTTGCAGAGAAGCTAAGAGAGGGTCTCCATTAGAGCAAATTCATATACCTTTAAGAGCTAAGCAGGTAACATCAATTCATGAAAGCAAGGCATAAAGCATGGGGTTAGTGATGGTTCAATGGTAGAATTCTCGCCATCCATGAGGGAGACCCAGGATAAATTCCTGGCCGGTTCAACATCCATCTGTCCATGGAAGCTCGTATGTTGCTATGATACAAAATAGGTTTCAGCAGAGCTTCCAGACTGAGAGTCAGGAGCCAACTTGACAGCCGTTAGTAACAGACAAAAGACAATGCTGCTCAACTGCTTGTTAATATGACTATAATAGTTACATTTCCTTTTAAAATGATGGAGTGAGAGAGAGCAAAATTGCCAATAAAGAACTGATCTGCCAGCTTTCAACTTTTGATCAATCAGTTAGGAAGGCACAACCAAAATACTCAAGAAGAATCATTGCAGTGAGGTGAGAGAAAATGAATCCCACAATAAGGTAGGGTGTGAGATGTTCAATTCTAGTTGTATAGGACAT